AAAATCCCATTAGAGCGACTGAAGAAGAAAATAGGCCAGAAAACTGTATTCTGTTCCACTGTTCCAGTTCCTTCTATTGAAAGCAAAACGTTGTCAAAAGAACGAGAGGGAGGCGAAATAAAACACAAAAATCACCATAAAATAATGTATTAAAAGTGTATCTTGAGATAAGCGCAACAGAGGCGCGTTTTATTGACAAACCGTTTTGGTCAGGTCTTCTGATAAAAAATGCGTCTTAAAGTAGCCGATTAAACTATATGTACAATAGACTTGACTATTCTTACAAAACTATATTGACTAACATAAAGACGTATCACAATGGATTATTTTCCTAGACGAAATAATACTTTTGAGTACCAGTGATGTAATTTGAAGATGTAGCATCAGCTCAATTGGACCCTTTTGACTTCTCCTTTTTCCGAAGAGAATTTCTTCTCGAAGCGAAAGCATTTCTGTTCAACTGAGTACAAATGAACACGAAAATATCATTAACACACAAATAAAAATCTCCACCCAGGTTTAGTGGCCGACGGTTTAGTGGCACATTGATGGAACTTTCCACACCAGTGAATGAGTAAATTCAATGGGGAGTTCCATCTTCCAGTCAGAACTAAGTACTAAACAAAAAAGTAAAAAATCCGCATTAAAATCTCTCGAGTGGCACAGCGGTTGGCTGATGGGTGGGCGCAATCGGGGTTGCTGAAGACGTAGCTTGATTCGCTCCGAGCTGCTGATTGGCGCTCCTCTGCTCAACTTCGTAAGTTTGCAGGGAGTTGCTGTGGGCCAACGCCAACCTCATGGCTTCTTCATATGAAGGAGGAGCTGGAAGCATAAGAATGTGGTTCATGTATGGCATGAGATTGGGATGAAGATTCAACGTCACCTTCAGTGCATTTTTGGGATTTATTCAGCTCATTTTCCACTATGATATGTTCGATTGATAGGTAGGCATCTGGATAAGGTGGTGCGTTCTGTCCAGGGACGTGGCCACTTATGTTGCCGGTCGTCTGATTGGCTTGCGCTGCAACAAAATGGAACAATTACACAAATATGCCAAGACGGAAACATTTTCTAGTTGACTGTTAAAAGCTGTTTTTTTTAATGGGTTTTTACTTCAAGCTCCTTATCGGAATGCAAATGGTGAATACCATTTAGCATGGTTCAGGTCATGGTTTTCGCGGTTCGTTTCTATTATGCTGGTTTCAGTGCGGCTAATAAAAACCATATCGGACAAGGTTATCAGGCACGATTCCAATGAGTAGAGGAAATTATTAGCTAGTTGAATCAATGGTGGGAGCTTTGAAGATAGGAAGAAGTGTTGCTCTTCAACACTTCTTCCTTTGAGCAGTTTTTTGCGCTACATTTTTCAGGAAGCCATTTGTCAGGAACGACAAGAGGTATGGGCTTGAGGAGTCTAGTAGGTGCTGACAGAAGCTTTACTTTAGTCATTTTTCGAGTTTGAGGAAAATGTGGAGAAAGTCTTTCCCAGAATGAATTTCGGAATTTTGAACCGTTTTTTCAATTTGCGCGGTTTTTGCACTTCATTCTTCAATAGACCATTTCTCAATAACCAGATATGATGACGATTTGCGGTGTTTAGCAAAATTTAACGAAGGCTTTGTGCCAACAATGGCGTGAATTTGGACAGAATCCAGTCGGCAGTTTTTTCAAAATACATTTCGGAACTTTAGACAGTTTTTTCAATTTGCGCGGTTTTTGCACTTCATTCTTCAAAAAACCATTTCTCAATAACCACATATGATGACCATTTGCGGTGTTTAGCAAAATTTAAAGAAGGCTTTGTGCCAACAATAGCGTGAATTTGGGCAGAATCCGGTCTACAGTTTTTTCACAATAAATTTCGGAACTTTAGACAGGATTTTCAATTTGCGCGGTTTTTGCACTTCATCCTTCAAAAGACTATTTCTCAATAACCAGATATGATGACAATTTGCGGTATTTAGCAACATTTAAAGAAAGCTTTGCGCCAACAATGGCGTGAATTTGGGGAAAATCGAGTCGACAGTTTTTCGAAATAAATTTCGGAACTTTAGACAGTTGTTTGATTTTGAGCGGTTTTTGCATTACATTCTTCAAGAAGCCGATTCTCAAACGCCACAAGAGACACCAGCTCTAGAAGTCTAGTTGGCGTTGACAGGAGCCTTACTTTAGTAATTTTTCGAGTTTGAGGAAAATTTTGAGAAAGTCTTCTCCAGAATGAATTGCGGAATTTTCAACAGTTTTTGCAATTTGTGCAGTTTTTGCACTTCAATCTTCAAAAGACTATTTCTCAATAACCAGATTTGACGACAATTTGCCATAATTCGGAAAATTTAACCAAGGCTTTGTGCTTACAACGGCGTGAATTTGGGCAGAATCGAGTTGACAGTTTTTTCGAAATAAATTTCGGAAGTTTAGTTAGTTATTTGATTTTGAGCGATTTTTACATCACATTTTTCAAGAAGCAATTCCTCAAGAACGATAAGAGACAACAGCTTGCGGATCCTAGCAGGCGTTAACAGAAGCTTTACGTTAGTAGTTTTTCCAGTTAAATGAAAATTTTGAGAAAATCGCTTTGGGAAAGAATTCCTGAATTTTAGACAGTTTTTTGAAGTTGCGCGATTCTTGCACTTCACTCTTAAAAAGGCCATTTCTCAATAACCAGATATGATAACGATTTGCGGTATTTATCAAAATTTAAAGAAGACATTGTGCCAACAATGGCGTGAATTTGAGCAGAATCCGGTCAGCAGTTTTTTCGAAATAAATATCGGAACTTTAGACAGGTTTTTCAATTTGCGCGGTTTTTGCACTTTATCCTTCAAACGCCATTTCTCAATAACCAGATATGATCACAATTTGCGGTATTTAGCAAAATTTTAAGAAGACTTTGTGCCAACAATGGCGTAGATTTGGGCAGAATCCAGTGGACAGTTTTTTCGAAATAAATTTCGGAACTTTAGACAGTTTTTCAATTTGCGCGGTTTTTGCACTTCATTTTTCAAACGGCCATTTCTCAATAACCAGATATGATAACGATTTGCGGTAATTAGGAAAATTTAAAGAAGGCTTTGTGTCAACAATAGCGTGAATGTGGGCATAATTCAGTAGACAGTTTTTTTGAAATAAATTTCGGAACTTTAGACAGTTTTTTTCAATTTGGCGGTTTTTGCACTTCATTCTTCAAAAGGCCATTTCTCAATAACCAGATATGATGACAATTTGCGGTATTTAGCAAAATTTAAAGAAGGCTTTGTGCCAACAATGGCGTGAATTTGGGCAGAAGCCAGTCGACAGTTTTTTCAAAATAAATTTCGGAACTTTAGACAGTTCTTTGATTTTGATCGGTTTTTGCATTACATTCTTCAAGAAGCCGATTCTCAAGAGCGACAAGAGACATCAGCTCCAGAGGTCTAGTAGACGTTGACAGAAGCTTTACTTTAGTCACTTTTCGAGTTTGAGGAAAATGTAGAGAAAGTCTTCTCCAGAATTAATTCCGGAATTTTGAACGGTTTTTTCAATTTGCGCGGTTTTGCACTTCATTCTTCAATAGACCATTTCTCAATAACCAGATATGATAACGATTTGCGGTATTTAGCAAAATTTAAAGAAGGCTTTGTGCCAACAACGGCGTGAATTTGGGCAGAATCCAGTTGACAGTTTTTTCAAAATAAATTTCGGATCTTTATACATATTCTTCAATTTGCTCGGTTTTTGCACTTCATTCTTCAAAAGGCCATTTCTCAATAACCACATATGATGACCATTTGCGGTGTTTAGCAAAATTTATAGAAGGCTTTGTGCCAACAACGGCGTGAATTTGGGCAGAATCCAGTCGACAGTTTTTTTGAAATAAATTTCGGAATTTTAGACAGTTTTTGAATTTGCGCGGTTTTTGCACTTCATCCTTCAAAAGGCCATTTCTCGATGACCAGATATGATGACAATTTGCGATATTTAGCAAAATTTAAAGAAGACTTTGTGCCAACAACGGCGTGAATTTGGGCAGAATCCACTCGACAGTTTTTTCGAAATAAATTTCGGAATTTTAGACAGTTTTTTCAATTTGGCGGTTTTTGCACTTCATTCTTCAAAAGGCCATTTCTGAATAACCAGATATGATCACAATTTGCGGTATTTAGCAAAATTTAAAGAAGGCTTTGTGCCAACAATGGCGTGAATTTGGGCAGAAGCCAGTCTACAGTTTTTTAGAAATAAATTTCGGAACTTTAGACAGTTTTTCATATTTGCGCGGTTTTTGCACTTCATTTTTCAAACGGCCATTTCTCAATAACCAGACATGATAACGATTTGCGGTATTTAGCAAAATTTAAAGAAGGCTTTGTGCCAACAATGGCGTAAATTTTAACAGAATCGAGTCGACAAATTTTTCGAAATAAATTTCAGAACTTTAGACAGTTATTTGATTTTGAGCAGTTTTTGCATTACACTTTTCAAGAAGACATTTTGCAAGAGCCAGATCCGCCATCAATTTTCAGCAATCTTTAAAGACATCTTTGAGTTAATCGTTGCGTGTATTTGGTTAGAATCCAATTGAAAGTTTCTTCACAATGAATCAGATTCTCATTGGAAACTATGGTCAACTTTTGAAAGCTTCCTCAAAGAGTTGGACTTCTGGACGTTTGGTTGTTCTAGTGGTTTCTGCTGATTATTCAAATGACTGTATATTAAAGCCGGTGTGTTTTTCCACAATCGTCAAAAACCGCGAAAAACTCACCAGTTTCTGGTAGGCTTCAACCGCGAGAATAATAAGCGTGTAGTCGCTTCATTTGCTGATTTTCACATACCTAATAACCACCTTGTGCCTGTTTCATGGTGAGAAAACCGTTCCATTTTTTGCAATTTCCATTGCAAGTAAACGTAGAGCAGAAATAGTAAAACTACCACAATGACCGACACTTGAAACACCATAACGTGATAAGCGTCCACAGACATTTCATTTAAGCTTCACTGATAAAATTAGGAACCTATTGACTTGCTTAAATCAACCGTCTACTAATAGATACAAATATTGTTTTTCATCGAGATATTATTAGTAATTCAAGTTGTGTGTGTAACCGCTGATTTTCCTTTAATAAGATTCGGCTCGAAATCCTGTTTTATGACTGAATAATAATTAGCGCACCTCGATTCAACTGCTATTTGGATGCGTAAGTTTCGAGCTATGCTAACAGCTTTTACAAGGCGATGTTCTACTGGTCCTACTCACTCCATAAAAGAAGTCGAGGAAAGTACGAGGGTATTCTGTAATAGTCGGTCAGATGTTCTTTGCTCCTGATGGCCCACAACAGTGCAATGTACACTAGAAACAGCAGAAACAGCCAAAACAATGTCCAAATCACTTCCATTTCAGTGTGCACACGAAAAACACACACGCTCCTTGACCCGCAGGTGCCAATCGGTAAAACAACGTGAGTTTGTTTACTGCTGCCCGCACTTGACCGATAAACACTCAAAGAACGTGCAATTAGCAACTAGTTGGCTGAGATTATCTACCATTTATTTTAAGTGAGGTTTAATGGAACGAATTTGCTTGTCCCGATCGGGATTTGGGTCTGCGTTCAGTCACAATTTCCCTTAAATTGCTTTTCACGCTCAACAGACCACCTTGACTTTTTATGGGCTGCACGAAATTAACACTCATCGGTTAATAATTAATATTCTTATGTCACTGACTAGGAAGTTCGGGTTTGGAAAACTGAAATTACTTCATCCGAATGCCGAGTTCATTTGATCGCTATTTTGAAACTTAATTATTTCCTAGTTCATTGAAAGTTCACACGCAATAGTCGCAGTTATTGCAATCAGTTGACATGGTCAATCACTTTTTTTTCTGCAGATTAAGACAAGTATGTTTTATTAGAATTTTTTTGTATTCTTCAAAGCTCCAGTACTCAACAACTAGATGAGATACCAACTTCCGGATTCCAGCAGGATTTGAGAGGCTTTGCTTTAGCCATTTGCCGAGTATGAGGAAAATGTAGGAAAAGTCGCCTTCGG